CTGATTCGCTCATTAACTTCGATCTACTGTCCATCATCAATGACATCGACCCATCAGCGTGTGGGTGCCTTGGAACAATACATCCGACACACGGGTCGCCCGAATTAACCACCAAGCGGCGACAAATCGGAGAACAGCGCAACGGGCTGCAATCATCAGATGAACCCTATGACGAGACAAGAGGCAAGAAGAGACATACGAGTGTAGGCTGAAAAGTAATGCACACATGCTTGTAGAGCACAAACGAAATGATTTTCAGAAGGGTGCCAGGTGGCATATGGAAGTAACATTCCCCCTCTATGTGCATGCGCAGTTTGAGGTTGTTGCGTTCATTCAGTATATTTTGAGAAGCGGAAATATGGAGACATGTTCCGGTGCTATGTCAACGCCAGTGAAACAGCGTGCTTTTATCAAATTTTTAACTTCTGAAAAAATTACGTTTAAAGGCTGTTTATGGTGACGATGCTGTTGATAGCTCTATTGTAAATTGACGGATAATAAAATTTCGTGGTTGCGAGCCTGGAAAAGCCATAATTGTTGATGAAACACGCAGCGGAAGTCCGATCACTGCCACAGACAATTACCGTTGCACCTTGTTCCAATGTTTAATTCTTCTCAGTACATACATACTCTAAAACACCTCTGACGTTGAGTTTGTTATGTTAGAGGCAGCCTGACATCAATAAACTTGCAACATCACAATGCTCGTCCACACACCTCGCGCCCAACTGGAGAGGCTCTGCGAAACCTGAAATTTGAACCGATTCCACACCCTCCTTATTTCTCCCAATCTTGCGCCTTGTGACTTTTATTTGTTTCCTCTACTTAAAGAGAGACCTCAAGGGTAATAATTACACCTCAGACGATGAGGTGNTTCTTAATATAGATTATGCGTAGCTGAATATAGTTCCATTACTGTAGTACATTTAGTATATGCCTACCAACGTGATTTGTTATCGATGTTACGAAACATTAACTAGTTAAAACTGCTGAATACCAGACACGAGGAGAAAGATTCCCCTTATCTCGCGGTGTTCGTGCGTTTAACGTCTAAGTAGGATCAATTTTGCATAGAAGTCCAACTGGGAGGACTTTCTATGACGATATGCCGGTGTGGAGTGCCCTTTGCAGATCGTCCATATAGCAGAAACTGGATTGATTAAACAATATCGATAGTTTTTTCTATCAATTGAAGTTACATGTATGAAACTAAGGGCCCATGCTTATGAGATAATAAGTAATTTTTTTTCATATGTTTCTGTAGCTCTTCCAACACATCAATGTGAAGTTTGTGGAAACGTTGCAACAACGAATCATTACGGAGCGTACACCTGCTTTTCTTGTGCAATGTTTTTTGAGAGCCACGTAAGGAAAGGAAATAATTATTTGCGTAACTGGGCGTGGAAACTGTTCAACAAACAGAAGGAGAAATATTATCACTTGCGACTACTGCCGCTTCAGCAAATGTCACGACGTCAATCTGAAGCACGAAATAATAACAAGTAAGTAGCACTATTGTGTTAAATTAAAAAAAAAGAATGTTATAATAATCATAACACGAAACAATTTACTAGGTTCTCCTGACTTTGAATTACCGTCATCTCGAATAGAAGACGAACAGGTAAGTGACGTACAGTACTTTACATTTTTTTTCCATATAAATTTGTAGAGATTTTGAGATCTTCTTGTTTAATATAAATATTACAACGTTGACACTGGCCAAATGGATTTAAAACACTGAAAATTTAATAATTGGTCGTGGGAGCGAACCTTACCAACGGTGTGGTTACGACCAGTGTTTTTTCTAAATTTTACTCACGTATGTAACATCTAAAATAAGGACCATCTTTTTATATTTATATAAAGGGTCACGTGAGGCATCCCCTTAGCAAATTGCTTAAGCGTTACGTTGTCTTTATAGTTTTAAAAATTTAGTGTGGTTTTCTTTTTCTTGTAAATACTGCTTGCAAATTCGGTTAACTGACTTTTGGACAAGTATATATTTAAATTAATACTTATTTTTTATAATATATATTTGTGACCGCAGGGTCGGCNATGGACAGTAGATCGAAGTTAATGAGCGAATCAGATCTGTGTTTAGGGACAGAATCCTACTAAGGGTGCGACGAGGTCAGTCGACTCAGAAGTGTTGCGTTGTTTCCTCTTTGTTGCAGTTAGGACACACTGGTGAGTCCACAAGGCGCCGAAGGTGCAGGAACGCTGACATTGCATTTCAATACTGCTTTAATAGAGAGGTTGCGGCCGACGTTTTCATCGCGAAAATGTGTACGTCAGACGTTCAGCGCCGCCATCCTGTAAGCCTAGAAGTTTGACAATGACGTTTGGAACGTCAGTGGGATCATGCTCGACGTTCCAAATTCCATTGTCAAACTTCTAGGCTTACAGGATGGCGGCGCTGAACGTCTGACGTACACATTTTCGCGATGAAAACGTCGGCCGCAACCTCTCTATTAAAGCAGTATTGAAATGCAATGTCAGCGTTCCTGCACCTTCGGCGCCTTGTGGACTCACCAGTGTGTCCTAACTGCAACAAAGAGGAAACAACGCAACACTTCTGAGTCGACTGACCTCGTCGCACCCTTAGTAGGATTCTGTCCCTAAACACAGATCTGATTCGCTCATTAACTTCGATCTACTGTCCATCATCAATGACATCGACCCATCAGCGTGTGGGTGCCTTGGAACAATACATCCGACACACGGGTCGCCCGAATTAACCACCAAGCGGCGACAAATCGGAGAACAGCGCAACGGGCTGCAATCATCAGATGAACCCTATGACGAGACAAGAGGCAAGAAGAGACATACGAGTGTAGGCTGAAAAGTAATGCACACATGCTTGTAGAGCACAAACGAAATGATTTTCAGAAGGGTGCCAGGTGGCATATGGAAGTAACATTCCCCCTCTATGTGCATGCGCAGTTTGAGGTTGTTGCGTTCATTCAGTATATTTTGAGAAGCGGAAATATGGAGACATGTTCCGGTGCTATGTCAACGCCAGTGAAACAGCGTGCTTTTATCAAATTTTTAACTTCTGAAAAAATTACGTTTAAAGGCTGTTTATGGTGACGATGCTGTTGATAGCTCTATTGTAAATTGACGGATAATAAAATTTCGTGGTTGCGAGCCTGGAAAAGCCATAATTGTTGATGAAACACGCAGCGGAAGTCCGATCACTGCCACAGACAATTACCGTTGCACCTTGTTCCAATGTTTAATTCTTCTCAGTACATACATACTCTAAAACACCTCTGACGTTGAGTTTGTTATGTTAGAGGCAGCCTGACATCAATAAACTTGCAACATCACAATGCTCGTCCACACACCTCGCGCCCAACTGGAGAGGCTCTGCGAAACCTGAAATTTGAACCGATTCCACACCCTCCTTATTTCTCCCAATCTTGCGCCTTGTGACTTTTATTTGTTTCCTCTACTTAAAGAGAGACCTCAAGGGTAATAATTACACCTCAGACGATGAGGTGAACGCAGCTGTCAAGTCCTGGATTCGAGAAAAGTCGGAAGAATTTTTCAGTGACGGAATGAAAAAACTTGTTGCACGTTGGGAGAAATGTGTTAGCCTTAAAGGTGACTATGTTGAGAAATAAATATATGCTTTTGAAGCTTAAGAATTGTACTTTAATGCACTTTTTGCCCGATCTTGCTATTTGTTTTTGTTCGCGTTCTACAAGAATGTGTGCATTATTTTTCAGCCTGCCCTCGTACAATGTGCTCATTGCATTTCGTTCTTACTTTTTTACTTGACAATTTAAGACTTAAGAACATTTATTGGTCTGCAATTTAAAAAAAAAAACCTATAAATTCTCACTGTCGTCCATATATATGTCTTTCCTTAAGCAAATGGTAATGAGAATGTTGTCCACCTTCAGTGAAAAAGGTGCTATAATATTTGAAGAAAAACGGAATCTAGGAAAAATTGATCTAGGAAAAAAACGCTGGCCTTTACAAAATCATAATAGATATATTCTTTTGTATATTGTAGAAGTGGTAACCAATAATTATTCGTTTGCTCTTGCATATAGACCAGTCACATATTCTAGCTGTTAGTTACGTGTGTTCAAACAGGCAGTGAAATCCCGTAAAAGAGTTATGTCCAAAGGAAAATATGTTCTCTCGCTACATGAAGTTACACTACTGACCATAACACACAGTTGATCCTAACTACATGCTGTCATATGCTCGTAAAACAAAACAGTAATTCAAACCTAGTATATAGCGTATTATTAATTTTTTTAATTAAGATTTTGCCCA